CAACATACTCCTTACTCTTTCCCAATCCAACCTGCTCCTTGTGACATCAGTTTCAGGGCCCAATTAACCCTGAGCAGGTCAATTTAAAGTGAACCATCAATAGACTTTGACAGTGCAAAACAGGCACAATCACAAGGCACTATCAGTTTCGGGAGCAAGGAATGGCACAGGGCACTTGTGCCTGAAATAGTTGCATTCACACTTCCTCGCCCTTGACTTGGCACTTAAAGCCTCATGACACCATTCAGTTCCATCACCCCCTCCAGCCTTGCACTTTATTCATAAAAACATGAAGGAGGTATGGTCACCCCGACTCACAGGTAGTGAGTTGGGACCTGTATTGTATATTTGCTGTGAGAAACGCCAGTGCAACAGTGGCATGGCAACAGCATACAGAATGGTACATAAAGTGAAGAACTGTGGTCAGAGTGTTTTCTTGAATGGCGAGCGTTGCCGCATATAACAGGGGTGGGAAACCCCAAGCCCAGGGGTCAAATGAAGCCCTCCAGGCATTTTTGTCCGGCTGTGAGGACTCCCATCAGCTCACCATCTCCTCAGACACATCCAATCTCTTCACAACCCTCAACGGCCTGGTCTCGCACCTTCTTTGAACATTTTGGCTTGGCTGGATTGTGTCCTTGAACTGCTATAATGACTCTGCTTGCCTCAGTGGCAAAGCGTGGGTTGCCAGTGCCCGGGGCTGCATGGAGGGGAGAAACAGATGAAGTATACATGTGCATTCAACTGCCAAGCAGTGTCCATGCCACCCAGGAGATTGCAGCCACAGTGATAAGAAAAGAAGATGAAATATACTCAGAGTCGAGAGTGGATTTCATACTCTTTATTCAGCTCATAGTGGTGAGGAGGAATGAAAGTTTCCCCAAAGTATCTGCTTTATATACATTATTTACACAATGGGCTGCACGTGATTGGCTAATTCCAGAATTCTCCTATAGGCCAATCAGGTTGTGGATTCACTTCCATCTGGAGCTGGATTGGGTGGCTCCTGCAGACCAATCATACTGCTGCATTGTTCTAGGACCATTCAGACTGCTGCATTCTGAATCCTATTGTTCTAGGACCAATCAGACTGCTGCATTTTGGATCCTATTGTTCTAGGACCAATCAGACTGCTGCATTTTGGATTCTATTCAACTCAGTACATAACACCAAGAGTTGTTCCATTGTCTGAAGGGGTCACTTCCTGGTTCACATGGAGAAGCCATTTTCAACAGAGACCAGTGATGGATGCATGCAGCTGTATTGAGGCAGCACTGAGTGTCGACATTTTGCACCCCCCTAACAATTTTGCTTCTGAGACGGTGTGTCTGTAAAAACAAGCCTAGTGAGCAAAGGTAAATTTTATATTCGTTGTTCCACCCACTTTTACCTCTGGCTACACTTACCACATAGACCAAATCCCATTCATGGAACTAAATAGGGTAGGAACATCTTCAGATGCATCCCAATCTGTGCAGTTTGGACTGGTTCAGTTCACAATTTGGACTCAAATCAGTATGCACCACTATCCAAACATTGCCCCAAACCCACAACTTAATCTCGGGAACAGTCAGGCCAAATTGGGTAACAATATTTCAACAGGTGCCCGTACACAGAGAGAATAGACAGAGATACAAACTGCTTCCCAAAATATATAGTAGGTTTAGATTTATACAGCCTTTTGTACTTTGTATTCAGAAATATGAATCGTTTGCTGGAGTAATTTCATGTCTCAAAATGGAAATTGATTAGCAGTTGTCTCTGAGAGATGATTCACTTAGAAATAACTGGATAGATTTGAGCAAACATCGGAGGGATTTTTTTTCCCCGGGCTGAAGTTCTTGTTGAATTGTTGAACTTTTCTTGTAAGTCTATATGAGGTTTATTGACCAACGAATGAAGCTGTGGGAATAATCCATTATACATCTAACCTCTGCAGAGAGACAATGCAAATGAATTTACCAATAAAAATTTAGCCAGCACATTTCTGACCAAAGTTTTCTGAAACAACTTTCAACTATTTGTTTGCAGTGACAATCCAATTCTTGTGATTTAGACACACACAAAAATGTCACATTAAATGTACAAATCTGAATATTTTTGACAAACAAGTTCTCCAACTTAATGCGGTTTAAAGAAAGGATTTTTTCCCCTTTAAGACTTACAGAAAATATCACAGGAGCATCAGAAATGTTTAACTATAGGCTGCTCTTGATCTTAAACAGCAACAAGTTTCCATTTACACCTGGAGTCTTGCAATCCTAAATGTACTTCCTATGGAGTGGGTCCCATTAAGGTAAGTGGAGCTAACGTCTGAGCAAAGTATTGCTGCAATTCTTTAAAAGTTTGCAGAATTTAAAGAAAGGTTTTAATAAGGGTATATTGTGGGAGTCTGGTCAGCAGGAAAACACACTTTAAACACATTTTTGGTAGTACACAATGGCTCATTGCTGTCCTACTGAAGTGAAGACATCAGTCAGCTGCTTTGATAGCAGTCAAAACATTATCTTCCAACATTATTAGATCAGAGGCCCTGCCCTTTCACTTAGAATTTGAAAATGGCATCACTGACATTTATTCTACATGTCCTGACTAACTTACAGGAAATTGAAGAGCAGGGCTTTTTAATAATACAATTACGACATATATATTTTTTGCAATATCTGGGGTGTTAAAGCTCTTGTCTGCACAAAGCTCAATATAACACAGCTTTTCAAGGTCAGCCTATTTAAAGCATCACTCCTGCTAGACCCTAATGAAAGTTTTGTCCAACTACTTTCACTTATAATTCAGGGTGGCTAAGACCTAGTCTCCCCAAAAAGTTATTCTGCCCCCTAAGACTCCACTAATTTTGGTGTCAGTAGCAAAAAAAAGAAAAAAAAAGAAAAGAAAGTAGGCACACTGCTGAGCTGAACAGAGCCCAGGGCCCTCATAAGGATTCAAAGTGTCCCTTCTCTAGTCATCAGGTCCATCATTTGATCAGTGAAAAGGGGAGCCTTTCTTAGCTGACCTGCAAGGATCAAATGAGGAGTGTGTGTGTGTGTGTGTGTGTGTGTGTGAGAGAGAGAGAGAGAGAGAGAGAGAGAGAGGTGGGGTGAGAGAGAAGGAAGGAAGGAAGGAAGGAAGGAAGGAAGGAAGGAAGGAAGGAAGGGTGATCACCCACTACTGGCAAGTGGTCCTTAGAGGACTGGCCAAAAAAAGATTAGTCACCATCTCTGATCTTAGTACACATCCTTCTCTGTTTTGTAGCCCCTGTTCTGTACAGTGTGGGGAGGGGGCAACGTTGCAACCAGTTCCCCCAACACAACCAATATGTAGCAGGCCCCACCACTGAAATAGTTTAAAAAAATAGACCCTGTGTTGCAAGATCCAGTTAATTTTATTTTTTAAATGTGAGAGTAAACCATATGTTGTTTAAAATGAAGAGCTCATCTTTGTCTACCAAGCACATTTTATTGAAACATTATGTAAATGTAATGCAACATTGCACCATCAACAATGACTTCATTCATTTACCATCATAAATCACTTCTCTAACTGCTGTACAGTACATATGCGTACCTTTAATAATTACCGTGAAGGTGCCTGGTAGTGCATTCATAGTGCACGTCATTTTAAAACATTGCTCAGACAGACCCCCTTCTCTAATTCTGGGCTAGGTTTCAGCGGCAGTCATTAAGCTGCTGGTAGGTGAGGATTTTAACTTCTCACATGTACTGGGATGCAAGCCTGACCAGAAATGCTTCTTGCCCTAACTCCTGCCTGAAGACTGGTTGTGGTTGTGCAATGTGCAAGAAACATGCTCCACACATGCTTACATACCCTCCAACATTTCTCTGATGAAAATAGGGACGTCCCAGTCCATAATTATAATTTTACTATTTATACCCCACACGTCTTACTGGGTTGCCCCAGTTATTCTGGGCAGCTTCCAACATATATAGAAACATAATAAAATATTAAACAGTAAAAAAAAATACTTCCCTATACAGGATTGCCTTCAGACGGCTCAGGGGTAGGATAACTTCATACCCTACAACAGTTCTCCAATGAAAATAGGGACATCCTAAGGAAAAGTGGGACATTCCAGGATCAAATTAGAAACCAGAACAGCTTCTCTGACTCAGGGATGTCCATGGAAAATAGGGGTCTGTGCTTATGCCTTAGCTGCATCCTCTGTTCTTTATTCATAGAATTCAGAGCTAACCTGGAATTTCCACAAAATGATCTAGAACCATGATGCTCTAGCTCAAATTTAAAGCCACAGGGATCTGGGTCCAGGCAAGGCAGGGGTGACACCTATTATGCTTTAGCTGTTTATAGCAGTGATTTCAGCTGGTTATTTTACATTTCCTCTTTAATTGCCTTTGGGACACAGCAGACAAGTCTGATGTTTTGGGCAGCGCAAGTCAAGGGTTCACCTCGTTTCATGATCAGCATAGTTTTACAAGTATTGTAGTCAATGGTACTGTTATTAATAGCTTGGAATCTATGATAGATTAACTTAAAGAAGTTCATGGAAGAATGGTCTCTTGTCTGCTTCTCCCTCCTACAGCTATTTGGATCTGTAGAAGCTTCTTGGAGTGTTGGGGAACCCCGTTAACCAATGTTAGATGGAGAAGGGGAGGAGACAGAAACATTTCTTTCCAATTACTGTAATTTCCTTAGGTTATCTTAGGTTTAAGCACACTCTTGTGCAATTCCCACTTTCTCTAGGAGGGTCCCCTGATCTTCTGGAGAGGCTTTTTTTGGGGGGGGGGGGAGAAAGTGCCTTCAAATAAGATGATGAGAAAGGAAACATTGCTTCCATTGTCTTCATTAAGTTTCTACTAGTTATTGGCTTCAGTTAAGATCTGTAGCTAAAATTGCCCTATTAATTCTTTTTGTGGTTCTACTTCACATTGTCTTCTTTACATTTATACAATAGTGATTTACCACCACCACTGCTTTCTCATCATTCAGCACATAATCATCTTAACCTAGGATTTATACAATTTTGAGCAATAGCTCAGTTGCTTAGCGCGTGGTACTGATAATGCCAAGGTTGCAGGTTCAATCCCCGTATGGGACAGCCGTATATTCCTGCATTGCAGGAGTTGGACTAGATGATCCTCAGGGTCCCTTCCAACTCTATGATTCTAAGAACTGAAAGATATACTAGATTCCAGAACTATATTCCGGCAAACCTCTCAGCTGTGACCCCAGTAGCCAAGGCTTTAGTGAGGTGGGTGCACACACAGTGCACACACAGGGCAGGACCTTCCTGTTTTGCCTTAAAGGTAAAGGTAAAGGGACCCCTGACCATCAGGTCCACTAGTGACCGACTCTGGGGTTGTGGTGCTCATCTCACTTTATTGGCCGAGGGAGCCGGTGTACAGCTTCCGGGTCATGTGGCCAGCAGGACTAAGCCGCTTCTGGCGAACCAGAGCAGCGCGCGGAAACGCCATTTACCTTCCCGCCAGAGCGGTACCTATTTATCTACTTGCATTTTGACGTGCTTTCGAACTGCTAGGTTGGCAGGAAAGGATGGGCCACCCCACATTGCGGGAGAATGAATATCAGTAGGAAGAGCACCATGTGTTCAAAGTTTGACTGTGTGGCATGTGGTGTACAGCTTAGATGCATGTATGATTACATGCATTATGATTCGATTACATGCATCTAAGCTGTACACCACATGCCACACATTCCTGATTTGCCTCAGGCGGCATAATGGGGTGGGTCGCTTCTGGTTCCTCTATATACAATTAAATTCCTGATTCATATATTCTTGGGAAGAAAAAGAGAGGAGAGGATGCCTTTCCCCGACATCAAGTTTTTATGCAGATATAATTTTTGGACCAAGAAGCATTTCAGTCCTGTAACATCACCCCAGGCTGAAGTGGTCCAGCTCAGACAACAGGTATCAACCATTTCTGAAGTTAGAGCCGCGAAGGTGCAGCGGAGACTTACTCGTCCTCTACGCGCCATCTAGCGGTCAAAAAGAGAGGGATTCTGGTTTTCCAAAGCGGACGGCGATAAGCGAAGATGATTTGGAAAACGAGAGAGAGAGAGAGAGAGAGAGAGAGAGAGAGAAACCTCCCAGGAATGACGATCATTTTCGAAAGCTGGTTCAAGGCGATTTGGCCAGCGGCTGCAAAACACAGCGAAACACTGCATAACCTCAGCTTAGTTGGTTGTCATTTGCAAACGGGCATTCTTGGGAATCCCACAAAGTTTCAGAAATATTAGAAGGCGGGGGGGGGGGGAGAGAAAAACCACCTTCTGCAAAGACTTCTTCAGAAAACGTGTGTGGTGGGGCAGACGGACAACCAAGGTGTCGTCTGCGAGATTCCGATGAGGGCAGAGCGACACACGCAACACACACACACACACACACACACACACACACACACACACACACCCCGCTGCCCCTTCTCCTGCGTTGCCAAGCCGGAGTGTGCACCGATTTGCAATTCTCTTTGTTCCTCTCCGGATCGATGCCCTCCTCCTCCGCACCGGGACTCCCTCCGCCTTCTCTCCCCCCCGCCCCCCCCCGCGCCGCCCCAGTGACATTTGCCGGGTGGGAGGAGGCGAAAGAGGCGCCTGTGTGAAATCATAACCTGCAGCAGCGGCGGCGGCAGCAGCAGCAGGGTGGGCTTCTCTCCCCTCCTCCGCCTCCTGCTGCCGTCTTCCCCGCTTCCTTCTCCGCAGCCCCGCCAGCCCCGAGCGGCGACAGGAGCGGCAGCATCCTCGGCGGCGGCGGCGGCAAGCAAGAAGCCCCCCTCGCCCGGCTCTGCCAGGCATGGGCCACCCACTGGAAAGGCAGCAGCAGCGAGGAGGAAGCCGGTCTTCGCCCCCAGCCCTGCCCTCCGCCAGAAGCAGCAGCAGCAGCCCGCGGCATGGACGGCGGCAGCAGCAGCCCTCCCACTGCCTGACTGGAACCGCCGCCGCCGCCGCCGCCGCCGCCGAGCAGGGCTGGTTCCTGAGAGGAGGAGGAGGAGGAGGAGGAGAGGAAGAAGAAGCGGGTCTGCATTGAGCCGCCAGCAGGCGGGATTGCGTCGCTCTCGCCACACGCCCACCGGCCGCCCCGCCGCCCGCCGCCGTCGAACTTGTTGCTGAGGGGAAGCGGCGGGAAGAAGGGGCGGGCGGAGGAGAAGCCTCTCGCGGAGAGAGGTGGGGGGGAGAGACGCACGCGCGCCCGCCACCTCCATGCCAAACGGGGCGCCCCGGCCACGAGGCGACTTCGCCAGGTGAGGAGATACTGCAAGGGAGGGAGGGAGGGAGGGAGGGAGCCCACCTCAGGAAAGAGAACCCCCCCTCGCCTCCACACACACACACACACCGGTCACACGCCCCTACTCCATATTATTAGGAACACACACACACACACACGGGTCAGCAATGGTTTTTTTTTTTAAAAAAAAATGTTTAATTCCATCTCTCTCCGCCGCCAGAGGTTTTGGGCGCCGCGCCACCTGCTCGGCAGCATCAAGTGGCGAGGAGAGTTTGCGAGGGCTCGAGAGGCGCCCAGGCGAGGCGGCGCTGAGGGAAGGCGCGCGCCTTTTTCGCTCTTTTTTTTTTTTGGCGGGCGAGGCGAATTCGGGCGGGGGGGGGGTTGCAGGAAGCGGGGGTGGGGGTGGGGAGAGGAACCGAGAGCACTCGGGGCTCCCCAGAGAACTGAGGCAGTTTATTTGCTTTCTAATCTCTTTCATTAGATTGTTGGGTGTGTGTGTGTGTGTGTGTGTCCCCGGGGGGAAAGTCACACCCCACCAGCCCCCTTTCCTCCCTGAGACTACAAAATGAACTTCCTGCCTATGTCCTCCTGCCCCCCCCCCCCGCGTGTCCTCGGTTTCATATTGCCCATAAATCTCTTTTTTGTGGAACTGTTGCTGGAACTGTTTGCTTTTGCGCGGCGTGAGCTGTATTTTCCCCTCTCCCTCATAGTATCTTCAGACTCCCTAAGCTTACTTATTTTCTGACATCCCTGTACTCCCTAAGGCATGGGGGGGCGACAGCTGTCCCCCCTAGATCAAGTAAAACAATAGAAATAACTAATTGACCTATCAGGTCGGTTCTGCCCCCCTAACCAAAGTCCCGCCCCCCAACAAAGTCCTGCCTATGCCCATGCCCCAAGGCACCCACAAACACCCACACTTGCTCATAGGACCCCAACCTGTCTTCAACCTTTCCTGAAGAAGGTCAGGCATGTGACTTCCCTCCTGCTCCCCAGACACCCACTGACCCTCCCTTCCTCTTCTTGAGCTATGAATACTCTAGTCTAGCCTAACTCGACTGCGTCTGCAAACTCAAATCAGTTTGGTTCCCCTCTACCCACACCAGCACCCTCAAGTTCCATCCTTATCCTCTCAGGAACAAACTCCCAACACCTCTCCCTCCCTCTCTTCCCCTCCAACTTCTCCTTCATTTCCCCCCTCCCCAACCTATTACGAAGCTCCTGCCTTTTCTCTCTCCATTTAATAAAATATGCCCCCCTCCCCTTTCATAAGAACCTCTCCCTTAGAGTTTCCTACTTTTACTCCTGCACCCACAACTGGTCCTTCTTCCTGAACTTCTGCCCAGAGAATTGTTTAGTATTGTTTAGTATGCCCACCTTGCTTACTAAGGTACTCTATTTCCCTTTTCCTCTTCATCTTCCCTAAGACAGCTTGCAGAATCCAGGTCCCATTTTCTTCTAAACACCTGTTCCCTCCATCACCTGTTCCTCAGGAGTCAAACCGTCCCTCCGCAAGTTTTCTTAAAAGAAAGCTTGTCTTTCCCTAACTTTTAAGTTACTGGTTTGCCTTTATCCCTCTGCCCTGTTTCCCCAGAACAGGACGAGTCTGGAGAAGGTGAGTGATGGGTTGGCATGATGCGAAATCAGCTGTGAATTCAGAGTGGACATCTTCTTCCTAAACCTGCTGTTTCCTAAATAAATGGATGTGGAAAAATTAGCAAGTGTTCCTTCAGCAGCATAGCTTAAGGATTTACCAAAGGGAACATAGCATAATCATCTGTTCTCTCTCTTCATTTCCAAGCCAGATATTTGCAGCTGATGGCTAATGTAGGAGTAGGTGGGAAGGGATTTGGGCTTGGAGTGCATCTCCAGGAATCAGGAGAGTACAGGAATTGTTCCTAGCTAGTAGATTGCGCCTTTGGCCTGGAATATTATCTAACTGCTGCTTATTGGACCTGGCAGACTGGCTGACTGATTACCTCTTGCAGCTGCTGTCCTATTGCTGTATTTTTCTGCATGTGGAGGTTTCCTTATCAGGAACCGAGTGGTAGAGACAGGAGGTGCCAGTTTGGGGATTATAGTACTACATGACATCTATCCATCTACCGTCAATAGTTAATATACAAAATCCAATTTCTTAGTCTGACTTGAATAATGATGGAATGGTGGCAAATGAGAGAAGGTGACATAGAGTAAGAGGGGAGAAATGGGTAAGGTTTTTATTATGCACTCAGGAGTATGTTGATACTACTCTTCACTCTATGGGATGATCCCAACAGTAGAACATCAAGTAACACATTGGTAGACTAAACATATAAAATAATAGAATGATAAAATAAACCTCAAAGCAACAGACATAAACATAGAAATTTATATTCTTTGGAAATAGCAGGCATCCTAATTTCTTGGTACATTTTGTTTTTTTTATGTAGACTAGACTGGATTATTTCTAAAAAGAACCCCTGGGCATACCAGTAGCAACTTACACCATGGCAGCAGGAGTAGCAGCATGGCTGCCTTTTGCTCGGGCAGCTGCTATAGGATGGATGCCGGTGGCCACAAACCCCATGCCGACTGCCCCTCGCCAAGAGAGGAAGCGTAGCCAGGACTCTCTGATTGTGCTGAATGTCAGTGGCACCCAGTTCCAGACCTGGCTGGATACCCTGGAACGCTATCCTGACACGCTGCTGGGCAGCTCAGAAAGGGATTTCTTCTACCATCCTGAGACGCAGCAATACTTTTTCGACCGGGACCCTGACATCTTCCGACACATCCTCAATTTCTACCGAACAGGGAAGCTACACTACCCGCGTCAAGAGTGCATCTCAGCCTATGATGAGGAGCTGGCCTTCTTTGGTATAATCCCCGAGATCATTGGTGACTGCTGCTATGAGGAATACAAGGACCGGCGGCGGGAAAATGCCGAACGTCTTCAGGATGATGCTGATCAGGATAATGCCGATGAATGCAATCTGCCCTCCATGACAGCCCGGGAGAGGATGTGGCGGGCCTTTGAGAATCCACACACTAGCACGCTGGCCCTGGTATTTTACTATGTTACGGGCTTCTTCATTGCAGTCTCTGTCCTTGCCAATGTAGTGGAGACAGTACCCTGTGGGCTAAGTCCTGGTACCATCAAGGAGCTGTCCTGTGGAGAGCGCTATGATGTGGCTTTCTTCTGCCTGGATACGGCCTGTGTCATGATCTTCACAGTTGAGTATCTGTTGCGTCTAGTGGCTGCCCCGAGCCGTTACAAGTTTGTGCGTAGTGTCATGAGCATCATTGATGTAGTGGCCATTATGCCCTATTACATTGGTCTTGTGATGACCAACAATGAGGATGTCAGTGGGGCCTTTGTAACACTGCGTGTCTTCCGTGTATTCCGGATCTTTAAGTTTTCCCGCCACTCGCAGGGTTTGCGCATCCTGGGCTACACTCTGAAAAGCTGTGCATCAGAGCTTGGCTTTCTCCTCTTTTCTCTCACTATGGCCATCATAATCTTTGCTACGGTCATGTTCTATGCTGAGAAAGGCTCAACGTCCACCAAATTCACCAGCATCCCTGCAGCTTTCTGGTATACCATTGTCACTATGACCACCCTTGGGTAAGTGCATATTGGTTTTGGTAGCTACCTGAGCAGAATATAAGAAAAGCCATGTTGCTGTCATTGCTTTTCCGATTTTGTGTTTCAAAATTGCGTGAGGAAAGTGACAATGCACACCTGTGTTTTGATCAAGGAAGTGCCTCTGATCTAACTGTCTGTGGTGATGTGCAGAAGTATGGGGGTTCTCCATCTCTAATTGAGCACAATAATGAGAGGTCCTTGCAATTGTAAGATCGCTTTAATTTTAATATTTTTCCTCTTGCATATTGAGATCCCAGTGTTTAAATTTCCATTCACCTACTTCTGTTTGAATGTTAGGGAACAACATATGATGAGTTACATGCTTGAAATCCAATCTAAAATTTGGTGATTTTGCTCTCATGTTAGTGTTGGACCAAAATTGTAAATTCTTTTAAAATATTTTAAAGGTGAATGTATCTGTCCGAGAAAGAGTAAGTATATTTTTACAAACTTTAGTCTAACCTCAGGAAAGTCAATATTATTCTCCAATGGAATCAGAAATGGGATGATACCTACCAATTTACATGCATTTATGCCAGTGCTGGTATATCAGAATGATATATTATGATGTTTTTGACTACAGTACTTAATATGTGTTAAATCTAACTCCTGCTAACTTTGAAAATATAACAATGAAAATTTCAAACCCATAATAATATAGTGAACTTTTTGTGGGAAGTCAAACACTTCTGAAACTGCAGCAAATTTACCAAGGACATTAATAACTGATGTAGTATTGTATTTCTAAAAACATGTTGTGTAAATATATTTGCTTAAGATGGAATATGATACAACATTAAAATCAGTGGTTCAAGTGCTGGATTTGACCTGAGGAGGTAAGTCAATTCTAGGGACACCATAGTCATTGTATTCCCAAATCTTTGCAAAACCTTACTCAAATGTATGGCTTAAAAAATGTAACCGTATTTATCTCATTTCAAAATTTTCATTGCTGCAACTGTGTTCTAACATCCATATAAACTTATTTGCTGAAGATAAACTCTCTGTGTATCAGAATTAATGAACTCACAGATTATGTTTTATATAGAAAACCATTTGCAAAGCATTAAAAAATGTGCATAAGTATACTGCTATCATTTTCTATTCAACAATGGTATTGGCTGATAAGGAAAATTATTATGGAGGTAAATCCTGAACACTGAAAATATTGTTCTTGCAGAGGACTTGGCATTTCAGTAGTGGATAGTGATCTAGTTATACAGGAAATTGGTAGTCCCTCTCTATATGTTACATCATCATCATTATTATTATTATTATTATTATTATCCATTTTAATGTTGTTTCATGCATAGGGCAAAATACAGTCAATTAAGCTCCATTACTTTCAATAGAAGAGATTTAAGCAAGTACTTAACTCTCCCATTGAAATCAGTGCTGTGTAAAAGTGCTTAACTCTGGCTTGATTGTGCATACAAATTAGGTTGAAATTAGTAATGATAATGTCTTTGAAAAGGAACCAGTCATGAATAAACAGGGGCAGGGAGTTGATTTTAAAGCAGAAGGGTTGTATATGTTGGGAGTACTGAATCCTCTTCCACTCAACAGTTTATTTCTCCCCAACTCTTCCATTCCGCCACTTTTCTCCCAGACAGGCAAACCTTGTTTTGGAGCATTGGAGAGAAAATTGTTTGGGAGGTGGGACTGACTGACTGTGGGAAGAAAACAGAGAGACAAGGGAAGCCTCAGTACCTTCCACCTGCTCACTCTTTTTGCTCATAAAAGTAGACCCTTATCCTCTGTTTTTGATGGGATTGAGGCATATCTGTGTCATGCCTATATATTAAACTAAAGTGTCTAATGAAATGTCTAGTTTTGCGCTCAGGGAAATATTATCAGTAGCATTTTTTTAAAATAAGTGGTACACAGTGTTGATCTAATATTTGCCATAACACTTGAAGAAACAATGTTGATGCAATATCTGCCACAATATCTGAAGAAGAAGAAGAAGAGAAAGTCTGGTCAGTAGTTGCTGTGACTCACATTACGTGCAGGACATGTTTAAATGACTGCATTGATGGTAGTATCTGCTTGTTCTTGTCCATGGTGCTGAAGAGGCACTTGTCTTTTGTTACATCGCCTTGCCTTTGAATTTCCCCCATGTTGTTGTTATTATTTAGTGGGATGATGGCACCAGACACTTAGGAAAGTAGGTAGTCTGATATGCAGATAAATAGAATTGTTCTGCTTCTTCGCTCCTTAAACACTAGTTAGACCACGTTGCGTCTTATGACAAAATGTCCATTGTCCCACTGTGTGATACTTTATAAAGCAGCTTTCCTACTTTTGTATGATACCCCCTTTCCCTTTTAGGACCACCTCTATGGATATTCTTAATGCTCTTAGAGAGAAGGAGTATTACTAGTATGTATTAATGTTAAACTTGGCTTGAAGGGGTGTTGACAAAAAAGCACTGTGTGAGTTTTCTTGTGGTTCATTACTATACACATCAACAGATTGACTGATTCAGTTTATCTTTTCATATCAGTTCTTTGCAATTATAGTGAAATTATAGCGAAACAGTAATCTCAAGAGTAATCCCTGCACCCCACAAATTATATTTTCATTTGGGACAAGGCCAAAAAAAGGAAAAGTAGAAGCAGGAGAAAGCAAACTCAAGGTTGTTATATATTATTCACTTCTAAAACTCAGTGTTAAATTCTGCAGTTCTCCATTAGACAAAATTATCTTCAGTTTACATGGCTGGCTTAAAGCCTATTTAAGGACATTAAGATTTGTTTGTATAAAAGAATGTTTTAATTATGGACAAAGTGAAATGAACTACACTTTGCTTAGTAACTTCTCTTGAATGCTATAAAACCACATGAAGGTTTCTGGTAAGTAAACAGCTAAATTTTGTACATTGTAGAAAATGAATATGGGCTTTTCTGAAATAGCAAGGATATGGAATGAGAACTTAGTCATGGAAAAGTCATAATGCTGGGAGCAAAGCCATATTTCTTTGTGATTGCTAGACAATTTACCAGTCTTATAAAAATGCAACAGATTACATTTTCTTTTTTACAGAGCACTCCTCATGTTAAATATTGTCATATTTTAGTCTCCAAAAACAGCTCTAATAATACAATTCCATGCATGTTTACTCAGAAGTCACAATATGTTCATTGGAACATATTGCACAGTACTTCAGCCTTTTTCAAGGAGTTAAGTGAGATGTTAGAATAAAAGCTTGGACCAACTTTAAAGTAGATCAGAAACAATCTTGTTTAGCTGTAGTCCAGCTTGAGATAGCTACAGCTACTGTTTGCCACTTTTTATTGATAATTCAGTGTGGGTCGAATCTATGCTAATTTGTAATGCCAGAGATCTGGTAAATAAATCAATAATGGAGATTTTAGTAAAGTATGGATAAAGTAAAAAAGCAAAAACAAAACTTTTTTGTTTAATTAGTATTGCAGTTCATGGCAAAAGTAATTATCAAGGCAATAATACATAGAAGTATTATTAGTATTATTAGCTATTTCAGGGTCTGATTATATTTCCACATAGAGGTGAATGGTAGACTTTTTTGAAGGTGATTTGCAAATACATCCTTGGTCTTTTGTTGCTTTCCAGCTGTGAACTGCTGCCCCTTTATGTACCAAATATATAAAGCCGCTATTTGTTTATATTATCGTTTTGTTTAAAAGCAAACAGTGGCAGCCTATCAGTTTGAAGCGAAACAGTAGCTTTTACAAATTCAGGGGACACGACAAACATACAGAAGTATATAAGTGATGCCTGACAGAAACCCGTGAGCTTGCATAATGTGGATGGCAGTGGAGCCTACATAGAAAAGTGGGGGTGGGGGGAAGGGTTTAAAGAAATTAGAAGACTGATTGTGTGGCTCTATTAATCAAGTTAGTGGCTAAGTGCACTTTGAGACACAGATTGTTCATGCGTCAGTTGAAAGTAGCCTCTCTCCATCACACACGCAACGGAGGTCAGAGGCAAGAAAGGGAATCAACCTGCACACACCCCAAACAGCTTAGAGAAAGTATCCTGGAGAAAGAGAGAATTAAGGTTGGATTGGAGAGATGCCTTTCTCATCACTAAAACTGCACGTCCTCCACTCTGGTTTTGGCTTGCCAGTCCTGCAACACTATATATAGAACAGAGGGAACCCTTTTCGGTGGGTAGGTGGGTGAAGGAAAATGATGTCCTTATACCTTTTCAACTCATGAAACTTGCCTGCTCTCCTCCCCACCAACACCACTGAAGGCCTGAACAGTATTGCAAGGCTTGTGTTATTGACTGCCTGGAATTATAAATGGGATACACTTCCCAACATTTTGTTGCAGGTGTCACTTGTTACTATAGTAATCTCACCTCCAGCATCAGAGGCATCCAATTATTTCTAGCCAATTTTTCACAGAAAAGAGACAGCCCCCAAAGCCCACAAAACTGCTTTATTTCTCAGTTCTCTATCCCCTGCCTCTGACCACTACAGCCTCTCTTTTGGCCATCCCTGCTTAAAACCTCGCTGCTAATGAAGTCCCCTTCTTGGTCATTCTTGCTGTATTTCTGTGTCACTATTGCTAACTTGTCTTCTTCTGTGCATTTTTACTGTACCTATCCAGGTTTTTGATGAAACCCTCCATTATATTCTTGCAGAAAAGCTGGCAAAATGTAGATGAGGTAACTGTTAGGTAGATTTGTAGCTGGTTGATTGAACTAGCCCAGATTTTACTCACTAATGGATCCTCATCATCCTAGAAAAAAGTGACAAGAGGGGTCCCTTAGGGTTCGGTCCTGGGCATATTGTTCAATGTATTTATAAACAGCTTGGATGAAATGCCCCAGCCAAGGGAGGAAATAGTACCACACTATTCTACCTTGGTCAGACCACATCTGGAGTACTGAGTCCAGTTCTGGGCACCAAAGTTTAAGGATATTGACAAGCTGGGACATTTGCAGTGGAGGGTGACCAAGATGATCAAGGGTTTGGAAGCCAAGTTTTATGAG